TCTTAAAAATGGTATAATTTATTTTTTTTTTCATGAGTATGTAGTGTTTATGCCCATAAACAGCGACTTATTTTGAAGAATTCCACACGCGCTATTTTGTTAAGACTTTCGGCATTTTCGTTTCGGAAGAAACTCTACTCAAAGATAGAAACGGTGATATTTTACATGGAAGCGAATGTACTGATAATAGTTTTAATGAAAATCGATTTTTCCAAATGGAATTTCACCTAAAATCAAATTGAATGTCTAAATTTGCATTTCTTTCTTCTTCTTCTTCTTCTTCTTCCTTTTCTAACTAAATATATCCTGTTTACCTCCAGTAAAGCAAATTTTTTTCGCATTTTATATCTGGATAGATACACCAAGGATTTTCACTTTGTCAACGATTAATTCGCTTTCTTTAAAAACACTGAAATTATGTGAGTAAACCTGGCAGCAATATTTTAAGATTTTCCCTTTGGATTTTTATTAGTTTTGACTTTTCTTTCATACTAATTTGAACGGCTTCATTTATATCCGTGGTTTTAGTAGCAATATCGTGTAGTTTCTTTTTATGATTACAGGAAACATTATCAACCATTATTAATTATTTTCCTGTTGTTCTTCCTGTTAGTGCTATTGTTTCTATAACTTATGTTAGCTTTTTTGTATCCGCTATTTTTTAGGGCTGTGTTATAAAAATTACTATGTTGTCGGAATATTTCCTTATTAGCGGAGTTCATGCTGATTCTTATCACTATTGATGTAGGTATATGCTTAATTATAGATGGAGGGTGGTTTGACTTAGGGTGTACATACAAGGGATTAGTGTTAGGTTTTCTGTAAGGTAGGTATATGTTGTTCATTAAGTTTAGTGTTACGTCGAGGAAGTTTACCCTTTTTAATTTAGTATTGACTATAGTTTTTAAATTTAGTTTTCTGAATTCACTATATATTATCTTTCTAATTTTATCTATTTTAAAATTTGCGGAGCTCTTCACTACCATGAGCCCGTCATCCCTGTATAGCCCGATGTCCTTAATGTCTAATTCACGGTTAGATTGTACAGTATAAATAGACCGACAAGGTCAGAAGACTCTGCAGAGTCTAAAGATCCTATGGTGATGTCAAAATTGTCATTAGTGTTTTTAATCCATTGGTCCCCATTATGGATGAGAACAGATTTTTTTTGCCCTAAGAATTATGTTCATTTCTTCCTTTGTTAAGTCAGAATATACGGTAGCAAACTCCATGGCAGTCGTGAAGAGATCTCTTGGCATTTACTGGTAATAATCCACAATATCGAACTGCATTAGGGTGCAATCAGGCTTATTGTCGATGTTGGTAAATCAGTTGATGACTTCTTTGTTATTAATCCAGAGTGTTAATCCATTAACCATAGACATAAATTTCATAGTTTAATAAAGTGCTTAAAAGCTTAACCCAATCATTAAATAGAAAAACCCTTTATGAAGTCGTCAAAAACAAATTGTAGTTCAGTGCGACGCGTTTATATATGAAACAGCCATTTGGATAAAAAAATTAAAATAAATAAATTAATAGATAGATAGATAAAATAAAACAAAATTCTCTATAAACTTCACGACATATCATGGCGCCAAAAGCTGTAACTGACCAGACGATGTGCGTACATGAATGCCATCAGCTGCTTTGAAATAGATACCCCACCCTACCTCGGCTTGACCTCTTTTCGAAGGTGACTGATATGTGGATAAGAATTAACTGTTAGACCCCTTTATCACAATGGCCACCCTAGCCGTTTCCATAGTAATTAATTTTGCGAACGAACATGCTTATAAAGATGCGTAAATTTCAAGATTTTTTATTCCTAAATTTTCGCTTGAGGATGAAACAGGGCTTGATACCTTAATTCAATTTAATTTTAATAATGATATTGAGGGTTTCGGCTCTCGTTTTTGAAACATGAAAACTCTTATGTAGCGAAGGAATCATATTTAAAAAATAATCATAATATATATATGGGGGAGTGTGTGCGTGTGTGTATATATATCATAAGGGTGCACCAATATACACTCATACACGTGCGCAGAACAAAAATAAAATCACTCACAGAACAAATCGAAGGTAAGAGAGCCAATGGAAAGTAACGTACAACTTACCTGAAGAGTTTGAGGAATGGATGGTAGAACAAGGCCTGGCACATTTTTTTTAATGTGGGTGTAATCTGTTTTTTAATGAATATATAGTTTATGTAAGATTTGCTGATTATCTGGAAAAAGAAACAATTATTTTAAATGTTATCTTAAGGGTTCACATACTTTTGCCTAACCACGTGACTAACTAAAAAAAAATCAGATGGGAGGTTTTTTTAATACATATTTATTCAATAACAGAACAAAAAAAAAAGTTGGGCATTGATTTGTCCATTTACAAGCCAAAACACGCCCTTTCAAGTGCAGATGGTATAATGACGCATTGTTTTTTAAGATCCCAAACTTAGGAATGAATGGCGGAACAAGGTCTGGGACATATTTTTAATGTGGGTGTAATCCGTTTAATAAAGATTTTTTTTTTAATGTCAAATATTGTCAGCTGTTAAAGATACTTATTTCCCAAATCAGAGAGGTTTGAAATTTCAGTGAAATATAATGAGGAAAGAGGTCTTGGGGAATTTGACACTCACAGGACATATTGAAGCCACGAGAGAGAAATGGAATCATCGGATAACATATGTAATGGTCTTGTGTGAAACAGATTAGAGAACAGGGACTGGAAAAGATAGTACAAACATAAATTTGTTTTTATCACGTTTCGGCCGTTGTACACTCCGGTCGTCCTTAGGTGTATATCGATCTGGGTAAAATACAAGGAATTCCGAACTAAACCCTATTTAATCTACGTGCGATGAAACGTTGTATTGAAAACAACAAAGATGGGGCAAATAGTCCGAATATAAATAGTGTATATAGTAACTCCACATCCCAGATATTCAGACAAAAGTAAACTTACTTTTTGGGTTACTAATTCGTTACCTAACACAAGGATCAAGAGCAACTAATCTTAGTGTATGAGGTTTCTGTATGAAATGAACGTAAGAGGAGGAGGAGGTAAGAAGTGCATTTTATGATGATGTGCAGGATAGATAACAGTTGAGGTTGAAGAGTTTAATATTGTAGCAATCGGAAAGCATCATCTTGGGAGCCTTTTCCACAAAGTTGTAGTACTTGAGAAGAAGCTGACTGAATGTAACTCCCTACTTACTAATGGAATGGAAGTGATTTTCCAAGAGAAGCTTAGATATGGCACAAGCCCGAAAGTATGGGGTATCCAGCGAGGATTAAACTCACTACTCAGTCGTAATTATTCTAGCGAGACAAGCTTGTTAACCATTACACCGACTCGAGGTGTCCCTTAATAAATGGATTATAAACGGAATGAGGATGATTCGTTTGTGTATACATGGCATGGCGTGTCTTAATTGGGAAGAACTAACGAATCTAGTTCGTCAGAACACTTGCCATGGAAATAACGATAGACTTGCGAAAGGCTTGCGACTTTTCGTCTGGAGGCAATGGGTTGTGTGGTAGGAAATAACATATAATCCATAAGGGCGGGTAAACAATTTCGAAATTTGTCAAACCAGATATAAGAGGAATACCTCCTTTTTTTAAATCTAATCTGGCTTTTAAATACAGCATGCCAAAAAGAGTCAGGTAATTACTGGAGCTGTACAAAGAACGAAACATTACCAGCATCGTTTATATGAGTTGTATTTAGGCTTTGGGGAATGATTTGTGTTCCAACAAGTATACGAAGGTGTGGAAAGACATGATCGAATTGGTCTGAACGGGACAAGACAAATAACAAGAATGTTAGCTAAGTTAAACTTCGTAAATATGCATCAGGTTCTAGAAACGTTGGATGTATTTTGACACCACAAAACTATTGGGTTGGTGCATAATTATCAGGATATTATATATATATATATATATATATATATATATATATATATATATATAACAATTCAGCAATAACATTTTAAAATGATTATTCCGGAGCGTATGATTATCGGGACGCATTTTTATAACATGAAAATAAAATAGTATTTTTATTAAAAAAATAAAATAAAAACAGCAATTTTTAATAACAAATAACTCGTCTACAAAAACGCCTGATAATTATGCACCAGCTCAATAACTGCTGTGTCGGAAATAATTTTCCATTTTCTATGGCCCTGCGATGGATCGTTTATATCAGTTACATTTAGTGTTCGTGAGTCGATTTTTGTCCCCCAAATTATAGGAAACTGTGAAGAGTCATGATCGAAAATATCTCAAGGGCACATGACAACTAAAAGAACAATTGCTAAGTTAAACTTGGTAACTATGTATCAGGTTTTACAAACGTCGGATGTATTTTGACACCACAAAACTAACAACATCTCTGTCGGAAATAATTTTACAATTTTCATGGGCCTTGAATAAGGAAACCGTGTTCTTTAGGAAACTGTGAATGGTGTCATTTGTCTGACATACAAACACTGACCGTTTGTGGATTTTCATCACCTGACGCTCGCTATTAAATGAAAGAGACTTTTGGTAGCAATGCAGCCAGCGGTAATGGACGTACGGGCAGACAGACTAATTGATTACTGTTCCGTTGAAATCAGAAGAATGGTTAAAAGAACACTCGGCGACATTCACCCCGAAAATGGACTTAATGATTTGGACATAAACGTCATTCGATGGCGACATGGTTATTCTTCTCATTTATTTTCGACTTTATTGCGTCTCTTACTTTGTTCTAAAAATCGTTTATTGATTTCTCTTTTTTTTTTTATTTCGGCCTTTCTCTATTCTTAATTGTTTTTTCTTTTCTTTTCTTTTTATTCTCATTTTTTTTTTGTTCTTTTATCTGTCTTACTTCATTTTGTTTTTGTATTTCTTTATTTTTTGTTAGTCTTCTTTCTTTTGTCTCTTCCATTTTGTATATTTTTCTTTTTTTCTTTCTTTCTAAATTTAAGTTTGGTTTACTAAAATATGTTTTCTATGGATTTACTTATTTATTTTTCATACGCTTTATTCATTTCCATATTTACGCTTCTTTCATTTCTTTCTTTCCTCTTTTTTATTTTTTATATATTTGTTTCTTTGTTTCGTTGTATATTGATATACATTTTCTTTTTTTCTATTTCTCTCCGTCATTTTTTCTACGAATTTATTTATTTAATCACCTACACTTTTTCTTCCACCTGTAGAATGAGTCTTTCTTTCGTGAGACATTTGTATCTATCTGCTCATTTCATTTTCCTTTTTCCTTCCTTTATTTTTTCTTTCTCTTTCTCTCTCCTTTCTTTTTTCTCTTTCTTTCTCTTTCTCTCAACTTTCCTTTTTTCTTTCTCTTTCGCTTTCTCTCTCCTTTATTTTCTTCCTCTTTCTTTTTTTTCTTTCTTTCTCTCTCCTTTCTTTCTCTCCACTCTCTCTCTCTCTCTCTTTTCTTTTTCCTTTCTCTTTTTTCTCTCCTTTCTTTTTTCTTTCTCTCAACCTTCATCTTTTTTCTTTCTGTCTCTCTCTCCTTTCTTTTACTTTTTTTTTCTTTCCATTTATCTCTCTCTTTCTTTCCTTTTTCTTCTAAATTTAAGTTTTGTTTTCTTGAATATGTTTTCTATGAGATTTCTTTCTTTCTTTTCTTTTTTTTAACTTCTTGTCTCTTTCGTTTCGTTGTATATTTAAATCCATTTTCTTTCTTTTCTTTATTTCTTTCTGTCTTTTTCTTTCCACGAATTTAAATATTTTTTAACTATATTTTTTCGTTAACCATTTCTTCATTTCTTTTCGTTCATTTATTTTCCTTCCTTCCTTCCTTCCTTCCTTCCTTCCTTCCTTCCTTCCTTTCCTTCCTTCCTTCCTTCCTTCCTTTCACCTTCCTTCCTTTCTTCCCCCTTCCTTTCCCCTTCTTTCCTTCCTTCCTTCCTTCCTTCCTTCCCTCCTTTCCCCTTTCTTCCTTTCTTTATGAAGGTAAAAAAAATGGCTGCTAATTCGGCAATCCCTTACGAAGTCTTGTCGCACATCCCCCCCATACACACACACACACACACACACTTTTGTTCCACTTCAACTTCCGGTATATGTCTCTGTAGTTTCTTCCACACTGACACTGAACAGCATTCCTCTTTTTATTAATCACTCATTCAACATCTGTTTTTCTCTCGCATTTCTTTTTATCAATTTCTTTTTATTTATATTCACACAAACAAACAAACACAGCAAACGCACGAACCTTTTATCGAAGATTTATGAAGGTTCTCCATATCCGTTGAATCTCTCCTGAAGACCAGCGTGGTCCAAGCGTGTCAGACAGGAAAAGCTATGAGATGCAGGAGAAGGTCTAACAACCGGAAGAAACCCCCGGTTTTATCGCGCCGATTTTTCTCTACAGATATACTGATTTCATCAGAAATGGAGTTTGTTTGGAATACTTTGGAATACAAGACCCCCTACTGGTACACTCGTTATATGGCACAAAAGGAGACGCGGCTCATTTTGTGGAATATATGTATCTTTTATGTAGTGACTTTATATGAAACTGATATCCTTCCATCTTTATCTTCATCACTTGGCATAAACATCGGTGATGACTCATAAGGTATATTTACCCGGCTTCTCCGCCAAGTCTGGATGTGATACAAGGTCGTTCTATGAGCGCTATACGCATACTTATGCATATGGGTAATATGAATCGCCAGAAAGAGATAAGGAAAGAGAGATATAGACTGTTGTGGAATAAATAAGACACCTCTAGTAACACAATTGAACTAGGAAAGACGCCTTAAATAAAGAACTCAAAGTGAGTCAGAAGAGTTCCGTTGCAGTCGGTCGAGACATAATATTATAACCGCTAGGAGTGAGTTATAACAATGGCGGCGAGAATGAGATACTCATACGGAGTAGGAAAAAGTACTTTTTTCTTTGATGTGTGTAAAAAAAGAAAACAAATAAAGGAGGAAAAAAATAACAAATATTCTTTAAATATGGAAGAATTATTAGCCCAGGTGATAAAAATACAACAACAGCAACCTCAACGGCAACAGCAGCAGTTGTTAGAACTCCAGAAACAACAACAATATTTAACTGAAATAATGCGTAAGAAAACGAAATTTTCACCAACTTTCATTTCCAACGCCGTGGCAAATGCCATACAATTCAGATGAAGTAATTACCTTTTCTTCTTAGTTTAGAAGATATGAGCAAATTTTTAGCGAAGAATGTAACGATTGGAAAGGCGGGAGAAGAACAAGACTTTTGCTAAAAAAGTTAACAGTATAGAACATGAAAAGTCCTCTAATTTTGTACCACCGAAAAAGGAGACATTTGCTTTGAAGAAACAGTAAGTATTCTGACTAAAATTATTAGCTAGAAAAGATTATTATTCCATACTCGTTGGAAGTTTGTGAATCTGACGAAAAAAGAAGAGAAAAATTTTGTCACATATTCTGGAAGCGTTAACAAGAAGCGTGAAAGATTCAAATTTAAATGAACTGACTTCGGATATGTTAAAAGGTTATCAGCAATAAAAGACGCAGAAATACGTCCTAGAATTTTAACGAAGCTTGAGCAAAATAATAAAAAAAAAATAACACTACAAAAATATCGGGCGAATGTCGGAGAATCATAAATCTGAAATGCGATACGGAAGAAATTGAAGAAAAGGAATGCGCATACAGACATGCTAAAGAAAAATGTGGGAAACGAAAAAATTATCGATATTTCAGATGTGAAAGGTTACATCTGGGAGACAAGTGTCCTTTTAAGAATTCAAAGTGTTACAAGTGTAGAAAAGAGGGACATAAAATTTACACTGTAAAACTAAAAGCAAGAAAAAGTTCTCACACAAAAAAAAATCGTACACAGTGTGACGACGGAAAAAAATAATTACAGAAAACCAAAGAAAATTTGTATATGTGAAAATTAATAATGTGAGTGTAAAAATACAACTAGACACTGGTAATAATATCACAATAATCAATGAAGCCCCATGGAAAGCAAACGAAAAATCTATATTAAAAGAACTTCGAAAATCGCGCATTACGTGTCGGGTAAGAAATTATTTTTTTTATTGTAGAAATGGCTTGTAACGTCTCATTTCGTAACAAGTGTGTAAAAGCTAAGGCTTATGTGTTAAAAATGCTACAAACGTATTCGATACTAACTGTAAAAAGCATAAATTTCAAATGAAAAAAGGTTTTATGCTAGTGTTTAAACCAAAACTTAGTGTACCGTTCGCAGCATTGGGTCAAGTCAACGAAGAATTAGACTTGAAAAAATCGGCGTAATTGAAAAGATTGATCATTCACAACGGGCAGAACAAGCAGTGTATGTAAGGAAAAAATAATAAAATTCGTGTTTGTGATTATTTTTCGACATATTTAAATAAATGTTTAGAATCATATAACTACCCATTACCAGATCCAGAGTAAAATTTTGCAAATTTAAACAGTGGAAAAATTTTTTGAAGCTAGATCTTTCTCAAGCGTATTTGCAAATACACGTTGTAGAAAAATGTTCAGCGTTAAAAACTCTAAATACGCACAAAAGATTGTATAAATTCAACTAAAAGTGACTCCAGCTATATTTCAACACGCTATGGATAATACTTTTTTCAAGCAATCCACCCTAAGTAAGGCGGGAAGCCACTAGCACGCAAGGGGTTACAGAGAGTTGGAGCGGGAGCAAAGAGGAGTGATAGAGGAAAGGATGAAGAGACGGTTAGGGGATATATCAGGGCAACTAGAGACGCCGATTGACGTTACATTTGAATAGTTGGAGATTATAGCTATCAGAAAAACAAGAACTGGGGAGGGATTTCCACAGGCGAGAAGTGTGAGATATGAAGCTATTGGAGTAGAAGAGACGGCTACATTTAAAAGTTTCGACAGTGAAAAGGTGAGAGCGAGATGCCAGCCTAGTTGAACGCTTAAATTCATGAAGTCTGGGAACCAGCGAAAGCAGCTCATCGGAGCAGTTAAATTTGTAAAAAAGAAAAGGAGACATTTGCTTTGAAGAAACAGTCTGTGAGAAAGCGACTGCAGACGAGATGCCAGATCAGGGCCACATTTCATATCCGTCTTTGTATTTTATCAAGGACCTTGAGACAAACAAAAGGGGTTCCTGACCATATATGGCAACAATACTTCTTGCGGAACCATCATATAGTTTAAAAACAGTAAAATCGACATTTCTAATCGAAACGCTCCTCTGTGGCTAAATCGGTAAAGCACGTCAGGCTATATGACGGTTCCGTATAGGATACAGGTTCGATTCCTGTCGAAGGACGCTTATTTTCTATGACAATTTCTCGGATATTCAGGCCGGTAAATGTCGTTAATACTGTTTATTATAAACAGAGCATTTACTTAAAAATTTGTATCTATAAAAAGAACCTATAAACATAACAAATGCCGGAATATATATATATATATATATATATATATATATGTACACACACACATACCAGCCTGTTTCGCACCTCATTAGTATGGCTAGACGTCCGATTGCTTCAAAGCGGGATCGAAACTCGATCGATTGGACATCAGTCTAAGAATCTACTCCTACACTATAGGCGCACGGCAGTTTAAATGTCATATTTTAATGTATTATATACGTGATGTATGTAAACGCCAAATTATAACTGATGAGGAAAGTGTTATAAGCAGGAGCAGCCACTGTTTTCAAAATTCCCTTTTCCAAAGTGCTCAATCGGCGAACGAGAATAATAAAGCTTCTTAAAAGGCTTCAACTCGACCACGCCTAAATGATGTAAACCGTGCCTTACCGTTCAGTAAGCCAACCGATGAGATCATAAGATCGAAACCCGAGCCAGAAAGATACTGTTCGATATTAACATATATATATATATATATATATAAACAGGGTTTCCATAAAGTTCGTGTGCACTTTAAACAATTTATAACTTTATTTGTATTTGCGATAGAAATAATCTGTAAACAAATGTTATAAAGTTTAATGTACCTAGTTTTAAGTATAGCTAAAATAACTAATGTGATTTCAGGCATTAATGTAAATCACTTGGTAAAAAAAATCGTATTACCCTTTGTATTGCTAATGATAGAGGACATGGGGAAACTTCAATAAAATTTCAATAAAACCTTAAAAAAATATAGATTTAGTTCTTTCTAATCCTTTTTACAAATTATTTCTATCGTAAATACAAATAAAGTAATATTTTTTTTAACGTGCACACAGACTTTATGGACATCCTGTATATATATATATATATATATATATATATATATATATATATATATATAGCATAAACGAAATACATCTACTTGTGAAAATCTGCCACAGGCGTCAAATCGTTCGTATACCACACAATGAGACATTGCCTCCTCTCGAAAAATCCATCAATTTGGAGTAAAGCTATTCGGTAATTTATCATCTTTTTCATTGACGACAAAGAATCAACTTTAATGGCTCAATAGCTAACGGTGGCGTTATCTCGGCGTTTCCCAACTAGGTCAGTATTTTCGCTTAAACCAGGAAGAATATTTAGTATCTCAGAGGAATTCTGTGACCACAAAGAGGCCAATTCAAACTTTTGGTATTTTGTTAGTCTACTATTCTACTATGCAACTTTGCATTGGATTTTTTATTCTTCTCGATTTTTAGTTGATAAGAGT